ATATTAAGGACCATCACAAAAATAATAAGCCCAAAATATTAAATAATTTTCAATACCCACAGATGCTTCCTTCTATATTGGTCTGGAACAATCAAAGAAGGATCAGAAACCCAACTATAAACTCATCTATATACTACTGTATTCAGATTATTAGTTTCATCCATGATTAATTTTTCTCTTAAGATCAGTCTAAATGAGGCAGAATTCTAGGTCCTGGTACATCATGCACCTTATGGATTTATGAACCTAGATACGGCTAGTAGGATTGGTAATTGTATTGATTTTTTTTTTTTAGTTTTGATGAGAGTCAGTTTGAAGAAAATTGGGAAGCCTATATGCGAATCAGAGTTTGTATGGAGGTCAGGAAGCCACTGAAAAAAAGGTACAACTCTTAGGAAAGGTCAGGGGTTGGTCACCGGGCCGATTTCAAATATGAAAAACTACCTAATTTTTGTTTTGTTTGCGGTGTTATTGGCCATGCCGACAGGTTTTGCCCATTGACATATGAGTGGAAAAATCTTATGGGGTGGAGCTTAGAGTAGGAGGAGGGGGGAAGCCTCGTCCTCCAGGGTAAACAAGTGGTTGGTGCCAAAGGGACCCTCATTAACAGGTATGGGGACGAAGCAACAAGATACTCCTCATACCAATGATGGTGGAATGGCGGGGCGAATGGAGGCAGGGAGACAAAGTTGGGTTGTTAATGTGAGTGAACTCGGGAAGAATACGGCGGGGGGGAGGTGGATCAACTAATATAGAGGAGGTGCCTGGTGACCAGAAGCGCAGGAGGCTGTGGGAAGGAGCAGGAACAAGAAGACTCAAGCAGAGACGACATGGCCCTGAATATGCCAAAAAACGGGGAGGAGGCGGGTCCTGGACACTAGACGCGCCGGGAATTCTGAAAACGATTTATGGATGGTCCGGAGCGTGGAAGGTCCTCGTGATTTCAGGGCCGAAGCAACAATTTAATTATGTTCTCTTTACTTTTACTGTTTACTTTCATCAGACTATTTTTATTTTCGCATTTTAATTCTCTTTCTGTCAGACTCTTGCATTATGATTGAGTGATGAGAGCACTGTTTTGACCGTCTTTAGCTCAGATATGCCAATTACAGGATCAACGAGTCATATTCATTCCGTGAAGGTGATTGATTCTAAGTATGGTTCAAGAGCTGACAGTTGTGTGCAGTCTTTTTGTCTGTATGTTCCCTATCTGAACGTTGTGATATCAAATAAGTCTCTTTCTTCCAAAAGAAACAAATGAGCACACGAATGTTTTTGTTTTAAATTTTATTGAATTTTGAATCTTATTTCAACATGAAGACAAACAAACAAAGGAAAAATAGAAAAAATAAATAGAGGAAACAGAGGTTTGAGGAAAGGAACAAATACGTGAAATGAGGGCAGAAACGGAAAAATGTGGAGCAGCCAAACCAAAACGCTACACTAATCAGCATTTCAATTTTTAGCATTTTGAGTTCAAAAGCTTTTTGAGTTCAAAAAGCTAATCCAACCGATCATTTACCAAACAATAATTTTAACTATTTAAAAGGGTCAAATTCATTCAATGTAGTCAAAAGAAGTCAAAAAAAGGGCTGATCATCAACCATTTAAAAAAAAAAGGGCTGATCATCAACCATTTGCCAAACAAAGCATATGTCATTTCATTATTAGACGTAGGGCTGGGACCGGTTCGGTTCTTACTCAAAATGAGTGGAACCGTTATAAAAGTTTTAACTAATGAAATCGGTTCGGTTCCTGTATAAAAAATCAAGAACCGTTATGGAACCGAACCGGTAGTAAACGGTTCGGTTCTTCCTTTTACCGGTTCCTAGAATAATTTTTTCTCGTCTAAAAATCAACACATAATTTATTTTCTACAAATAACATAAACACGTCGAAAATTCAAAACACGTGTATTAAAATTTTATTTGAAGCTCTAATCACTTCAAACATCAAAGCTCAAACTTAACTAATGAACTTTGAACACATAATAGAACAAAAGTGATTTAAATTTTCATGTAACAAATGAAACATTAAAAATCGTTGTAGTGTCGGAGCGATGAAGGTTACTCGTCATCATAGTAGCAAGAATAGGACGCCTACTTCAAGTCTTTCAAAGCATAAAAAAAGACATTGAGTTTGCATGTATAAATATAAAAAAACATTATTACATTCTATTGATTCATAATAAAGCTAATAATTAGAAATATCATGAAAATAGTAAAGTAAAATATGTGCAATCAACTACAAATTATTTGGGTTATTTTATACGGAGTATTTATAAAATTTATATGATGGAACAAAACTTGATTTGTAGAAAAGAGTTTAATGTATTATATCAACCTCATGTACAATATTTATTACTTCTTTTCCGTTGATTAAATTAGAATTGTTAGTTAAATATCTTATATTGTTTTATTATAGTTGTTTTTGGTGGTGGTTATTATTGCTATTATATTATTATTATTATTATTATTATTATTATTATTATTATTATTATTATTATTATTATTATTATTATTATTATTATTATTATTATTATTATTACTACTACTACTACTACTACTAATATTATTTTATTTTTTATTTTTTTATAACGGTTCCTTAACGGTTCCATGCACATATTTTTTATAGGAACCGGGAACCGAACCGTTATAACCCGCTTCGGTTCGGTTCCTACAAATGAGGCATTAATTGTTAACGGTTCGGTTCCTAGATGTTGTTAATGGTTCGGTTCCAATCGGTTCTACGGTTCCCGGTTCCAAAATCCCACCCCTAATTAGACGTTATGGAGTAGGAAGTAGGGAGTAATATTTTGAGATCCGGGTCGGGTGAAACCGATCCGTGGCGCTGACAGATGGAAAGTATGGTGGAGAAGGAAAGGTGTGAGTTGGCAGTCTTTAAAAAAGGGCTTAATAATAGGCCAGAGATCGAGACAGCCCATCATCCCCTTCCCCTTGCAGATCTCCGCTGCCCTTTCTTCATCTTCTTTGGTGGGTACGTCTCTCTTCCGTCTATCTAAAAGTCCGGCCTTGATTTTTACTCTTCACTTTACTTCTCTTCTTCTTCTTTGTCCATTCGCCTAGAGTTTTATTGCGCCATAAATGGGTGCGCCGGGAGCTGAGTGGTCAGACGTATGGGCGGAGGGTCCTGTTAACGAGAAAACAGACGACAGAGATGAGAAGAAGATGAAGAAGAAGGAAGGAAATTCATCCGCTGCACTGTTCAAAAAAGTTAAAGCCGCGGCAACGGTTGGGGTGCAAAAGGTGAAAGATGGCGGAAGCACGGCTTTGAAGTGGGTCAAGAACAAGTCCCAGCGTAAATAAGGCAGCCTTCTACCACCCCAGCTTGTGATTGTTTGTGTGTAATATCTATCCAGTGTCGTTTTATGGAAAAAAACATTATTAAATTAAATACTCCGTATATTTCATGGATCCTTACTGTTTTACAGTCTTTATTTTGTATTGAGATTTTAGATGAAGGTAAGTGGCAGATATGAAAAGTTTTATGGTGATGATATTATGTTATTGGTATACATAATCTTGCAGCAGTTGGGACTTGTGAGTAGATAGAGCTTTACTCTGCAATCTGCATATATAAAAAGTTTTAATCTTTTTTGAATTTATATGTCTTTGATTGGTTTTGTGGTATTATATTTTACTCTGCAATCTGCATATATAAAATGTTTTAATCTTTTTTGAAATTTATATGGCTTTGAATGGTATTGTGGTATTATACTTTACTCTGCATGGTGATGGTATTATTATTATACTACTCACAAATATTCCAGTCAGGAATTTCCTGCCCGGAGCCCGTCCAGCCCGTCCGGCCTCCTGCATTTGGGGGCCTTCCCGGTGGTATTTTTTGCTCAAATTTTTTGTATATGTTCCTCATCAAGTCTTGTTCATTCATACCAAATTTCAGCAATAAATTCAATCGGGAAGGTCGTCAAATGATTTTTGCAAGTTAACTGGTCGGGAATATGTATTTTTCGGACCAGTTAACTTGCAAAAATCATTTGACGACCTTCCCGATTGATTTTTTTCTCAAATTTGGTATGGATGAACTAGACTTGATGAGGAACATACATAAAAAAATTTGAGCAAAAAATATCACCGGGAAGGCCCCAAATGGAGGAGGCCGGACGGGGCTCTTGTCCGGAATTTCCGGACAGGAATAGCTCTCTTATACTACTATTATATTTTGGGATTTTGTATCACTTTTAAAGTAGTTTCTTTGAATGTAGATCTTACTTTTTTATGAAGACTTAGTTTATCATACCAGTATAAAGAATCTTGATATGGGATGGATGAAGTATTGTTTTGGTAAATGGAGTATATTTTTTCCAACAGGAAAAATGTCACTTTTATTAACCAAGAAATCCACTTGCCATTTGACTGACAGCATAACTTGTTTTTTTTATTTATTTTTTTTATTTTTTATATTCCTCATGTAATAAGACTACAGGAGTACTCGTATGTGTTACAAACAGTGAAAAGTGGGTGGGCGTAGCTCCACGGGTAGATAAGGGTGCCACAAGGGATAAGTCTCGAATTCATATACCAACAATTGCAATGAGAGGTTACTATGTAAAAATGCATCGGACCTCTGTATGTATCTAAACTAGAGCTGCATTCACTATCTACCAGAGCCCATCCGCTATCTACCCGTTTATAATTAAAGTTCAATTTACATTCTCTCAGTTACTTGTTTGACCGGTACTAGGAACCTGAAGAATGGGTCTCAACTTTTGTTTTTTTAACAATGAAAATAAAAACGCTTTTCTTAAGTGATCACAAACACCCTGGAAGTATAGAGCTCTGTAGTCTTTATAATAAAAACGCATCTTTCATTATTATTAACAAACTGTTGTCCTATATATGCTCTATAGTCTGTACTATTGTTTGGTTTTTAAAGTATATAGCATCTGCCTCAGGTGGGCAGCCAGCTAATCACCAGCTATTGCAACAAAATCATGGTTATCGGCCGTGACAGAGCAATAAATTAAACATAAGATCATAAAATTTGGGCATTTTTGCTTAGAGGTTATAGTGTTATACAAGTATTTTTACAAAAAAAAAAAAAACACATCCGCCTAGCTGTCCTCCCTATAGGCAGAAGGTGACAAATCCAGCTCAATAACAAATACTCAGAGTTCAGTTCGGCTAAAGAATAAAAGCAAAATGTAGAGGCAGATATACGCTTCATGTCTCCAACAAAAATGCAACTTTTGACAAGTTGAGAATATTAAGGCGCTTCATTAAAGGTGTGGTTAATATAATAATAAGGAACCATGTGGTGAAATTTCTTTGCCTTTGTCTAGCAGAGTAAAATCCAAGAATGTACAAATTTAACATGTTGGGACTTTCAAACTAAATGCGCCCACCCCCCAAAGGTGTTCTCCCCACTGTAAGTCATGTAAAGAAATCCATCTTCATCCTTGTTCTCCTCATAAATTCCAGACATCATTGCAGCTGCAAGTGTACCAAAAAAAAGGCACTCATCAAGGCAAGGACTAAGTAAAGAACAACAAAACATCTCCTATGGCAGGAGCCAGTTTTGGATTCTTGAGTCACTGTTTCCAACAAATACAAATGGGTACATCTCCAATGGTAGGAGCCAGTTTTGGATGCTTAAGTCACTATTTCCAACAAATACAAATAGGTCCCGCCTCCCGCAGGCCGCCACTACAAACACGTGTTAATTAAACCCTCTGTTCTCTAATGGCTGTGCCATTCACCCACTCAAGTCATCCTGTTGATTAAGCTGCCATCCCGTATATTACTTCAGTTTTTGCTTCTTAATTTTTAATAACTACAGAATCCAAAGGGGCATGTTGGTGACATTATGCCAAACTTATCTACCACCTTAAAAACCTCCAATTTTTCCTTTATAGACAGTTATTTGAGGACGTATCAAGTATTTTATTGGTGCTTTAATTAGAGCATGTTATTATATGAAAGCCATTCTTGTGGGTGGATCCAAGGTAGAATGCTCTGATGATAAAACAACATAAAAAGCTGTTCTTATATAACAGATAGGTATATAGGATGACAAATCAGTCACTGTACTCACCAGTTGGTGGAAGCATGTTCTTGACAAATACAAATATAGCCTTCTCAGCACCAAGCTTGATCCTCTTTCGGACCACATACACAAACTGCCCAACGGTCAGGTCAGCTGGGACAAGGTATCTACCACCCAACAAGAAAAGAACAAAGGTACAGTGATCAAACAGTTACACAGTTTTCTACTTTTGGCTGAACATCCAAAAATAACCCTGAATATTCAACAAAAGTCCTTATTAACCATTAACTTTTCAGGCATCTTATTTCTTTTGCCTCTAAATAAACTCAGTAATGACCCTGAGCTTTCAATAAACTCAAGATCTGACTCTAGAAACGTTATATATGCAATCGCCTCTAATTGGGACGACATAAAGCACATCATATCCATAAATGTCTGCTCAAATTGTATCAAATGTTTGATAATGTAATGTGTTTTTTCCGTTACAAAGTAGTCTTATCATTGCATACAACTTCCTTTACATATCTATTTGTATTTTGAATTGAAGCACTGCATAGTGCATACAAAGTTAGGACTTCTTTATTTATAAATTAGGGTTATTATTATTGAGTTATTTTATATAGTTTTGGAGCTAAATGGGACCCTTGAAGAGTTCAAGGTCAATTGGGGTTTTCATTAAAATGGCTTGGGTCACTTTTGGTATATGTCCCTAACTTCTTAGAACATGAAAGTTAGACAAAAGAAAATAGTGAAAATATGAAAGACATAAGAATTACTCCGTAACATTGAAAAATACGTAGTATTAGTTAATGGATTAAAATTAATTTAATAGTACAAGAAAACAATCATCAACGAGATGGCTACAAAAACATTTTGTGGAAGATGGAGAAGAAGGAACCTACTTTTTCTTATCAATATCAGGAATGTCACTCCTTTCTGCTTTCTCAACAATCACCTGAATGCAGAAAATGAATGTAAAAGAAAGCATAATAGAGACAGAAGAGGCAAACCATTCATAGGAAATCATTCTTACTGGGATTCTATCAGGATACTTCTCCCGAATACGGCTAGATTCTGCCTGCCTCCTCTCTAACCAAAATTAATTATTCCCATTAAAAAATCAGCGCGATGAACATCATTATTCAGCATAGAAATTTAAAATCAAGTATTCATAAGATTTTCAAATAACAACGCACAAACAAAAATCAGACCGATTGATGTTCCGTGGACATTCTAAAAATTACTCCCTCCATCCAATAAAAAGTTCTGTTTGATACCCCCCCCAAATGACACATTTAAACAAAAGAACCTAAATTTCATTACATTTAACTATTTACATGGTTTTTCATGGAAATATTATCACAAACAACTTACCACATTAAATTCAGGTATATCTAAAACTCTAAAAGTATAGCTACTGTCGATTATTTTGAAAAGTTGTATCTTGTGGAAAAATAAAAAGTAGGTTGTTGTGCTAAAACAGAAAGAACTTGTTTTTTTAGATCGGGAAAGTATAGGTTTAAATAAGGAAAATAACAATGTCCAAGTACTAAACAAGGCGATCACCATCAAACAGCTCAAGCCTCAAGTCGAAAAAACAATCAATTTGTAGTTCTGTATTAGTAATAACTTACACCCAAAAGCTCATCTAAACACCTTCATATAATTAGTCGAAGGAATTCTTCAAACCAAACTTCTACACTTGATAATTATCAAACATCTATGCTGTAGTTTGGTAATCCATAATGACATTCAATATAATCAAATACTCTTTCCGTTCTACAATAGTTGACATCTAGATATTTCACGGAGAGTAAGAAAAAATAGTAAGGAATAATAAGTATGCTAGAAAATGACAGAGGAAAGGTGGAAAAAGTAAAAAAAAAAAGTTAAAAAATGAAAATTTCAAATACTGGAGGGAATATATTTGTCGCTCAAATAAATTACAATCATTTAATTATATGCATATCAGTACATTCTATAAACTACACCTAACAACTTTTTCCATAACAAAGCAGGGTAATCTTGAAACTAAAAACCACTAAAATTCGTATATAGTCAATTAATCATCACCTTAATTAATCAAGTCTGGTACGCGGGTAACTGGGTAAGATGCAAGATACTTAACGTGTCAATTATTCTCAACTATAGCCAAATTAAACCCAATTGCGTTCTTATAAACAGATCCACAGTCACAATTTCTAGTTTTTTTTCACGAGATTACATGTAATAATTATTAATAATATCATTTGAGACTAACCAACCATTCTAACAAATGCACGCAATTTCCCCACAATTTCAACATGATTACTCAAAGAGACCCAAAACTGGCATGCCCAATTCAATTACAGGTTTATGCGTTGAATATTTAAGATGATAAGATGCGAAAGTATATGTGTGTGTATGGTATACCCAAAGGATGATCAAGCTGGAATGAACTCTTTGCCATGGCAAGACTCGAACTTTGATCTGTCCACAAAATTCAGGCATACGAAAGGATTCAATCCCAGAAATACAAATATACAATGAAACTTAGATGCGTGCGTATACTCTTTTCTGAAAAGAAGCTTTCAACTCACCGAAAACGTGAAGAAGAAGAAAAACCAAGAAGTGTACTCCAAGAAGAATTGCTGATTGTTGAGGCGAACTATATAGACTCATCAAATACCATACTTCCTTTTCAAGGGATTTGTGTACATACACACTTATATACTCCGTATGTGCAAAGTGTAAAAATATATTTATGTGGCCACGTGGGTAAAAATTATAGGGATTTTTGTTGTTCCAAACAACAAAATTATACTCCCTCCGTCTCAGGGAGAAGTTCCCGGGTTGACTTTCACACATATTAAGGAAATAAATTTACAGAGGGGTAAATTTTACTGTTTGACACTGTTTCGACACTGTTTGACACTGTTTTGCACTGTTTGGCACTGTTTTGATGTAAGATAACTTTCCATTTAGGGAAATGGAAACTTCTTGTTGGGACTGCCAAAAAAGGAAAGTGGGAACTTGTCCCTGGGACGGAGGTAGTATTATACTCCGTACATAAAATTATAGGAATTTTATGTATGTCTCTTAAACTTCTAAAAGATAGAAACTATCCTAATAATTGTATCAAGGAGCAAATTAGCTCTTGGTAATTGTAAATAAGAAGAGAACAAATTAAAACTCAAAAGGCTAAAGGGTCAAATAGACCCTTGAACTAACTTAAAGTATTCATTTAGTCCCTTATATAGGAGGTTCTGCCCGGCCGTCGCCAATTGGGGCGTTTCCCGGTGGAATTTTTTGATGAAATTTTTTGAGCATCTACTTCATTAAGTCTAGTTTACCCATACCAAATTGCAACTAAAAATTCAACCGGGAAGACAGACAAATAAATTTTTAAAGATAACTGTGCAGTTAAACAACGCAGTACATTTCGGAAAATCATCTGACTGCCTTTTCGGTTTAATTTTTAGCTGAAATTTGATATGAGTAAACTAGACTTAATGAAGAAGATGTTCAAAAAAATTCATCAAAAAATTCCACCGGGAACCGCTCCAATTGGCGACGGCCGGGCAGAACCTCCTATATATTGGGTTTAGTCAATGAAAAGATTAAAAATGAAAAACTTATTTTTCTTAAAAAAGGAATAACTCATATAAAATTTAAAATATATTTTCGTTATTGAAATAAATAAATAAAAATATAGATTTATTATATGTTGAAATATTAACACTTCAATTTTATATTGCAAAATTATTATTTTCCTCTTGTAAAAGAAGCAATTCAAATGCATAAATATTAATTTAGTCTTGTTGCAAAAAACTTTTGAACACATTATTATATTGTTCGAAATAATATTTTTAGTGTTGTTTAAACATAATAATATTAAATTCACTATTTCATAATCTTAGACTATTCATCACCATACACAATATGTTAAGTAAATAAAGTGCAAACAATACCAAAAATAAATAGCTTTTACATTGCAACATACAACATCTATCTCACTAACATTGAGACATGGAGAGATGATGCAATTATTAAGAAAAATGGGTTTATGTGATTGATATTGTATTGATACAGAAAAGTTAAGTAACAATAATTTAGAACCACTCAAACTTTATCGAATTTGATATGAGACAAATCAAAAAAGAAATATGGAACAATCTTAGTGGGACATAAAAAGTATATGTTAACACTTTCCTAAAAGAACCATTAATATATAATCATATAGTACTCCCTCCGTCCCTAAAAGAACTTACATAGTACAAATGGCACGATGATTAAGATAGTGAGTATTGTGTGGTGGAGAGTTGTGTAGAGGAGAGGAAAATGTGTAAGAAATTAAGAATAGCTATGAACCACAAATTCTCTACCGGAAAGAGAAAGTGAAAGTTTATTTTGAACGCCCAAAAAGGAAAGTTGGAGGTATTTTTAGGGATAGAGGGAGTAATATTTTGAAACAATTTTTGATACTAACAATAATAAAGTGTGATACAAAAATAACAAGAGGAGTAGTTAGACACAAAATGGTTTTTCTTTAATTTTAAAATTTTCAATTTCCAAATTCAATATATAATTTTTTTGTATTAAAAATCAATAAAGACTGATTTGCCCCTTTATAGAAATATTAGAGGTACTTTTGCACTTTTTAGAACTTCAAACGTTTTATTTACACTTTAGATGTGTATTTATACTTTAGGGTTGGCTACAGATGTAGACACTTTTTTAGGTTACATATCATTCGATCTTTTGTTCTATTCATTTTGAATGTGATTATATCATTATTATATGATTGCCCTAATGACTACAAAATAAAAGACATTGTGTTTCTATTTGCTTCTGTTTAGTTTGTTGTTTTTGTTTGTGGTTCTAACTTCTAACCATATACTAAGATTTTATCGGATACTACGTATTTAATATGATTTGATTATTCAATTATTTCCTAATTTTGATTGGGTTTGGAATCATACGTTTTCAAAGAAATATGAGTATATGACTAATCAATCAAGCTGAATTTGGCCAAGCTGAACTGAAGTGACCGGTCGTACTTAATTAGATAGTCTAGGTAAAGATTAATCACTTAGATTCATTTATATGTCCTATACTCCTATCTCAATGTTCTGATTTTTCTTTGTAGATATAAATAACATTATTAAAATAGTATAAAAAGGTAATAAATAGTGGATACGTTTAATATACTTCGTAAGTTAGTTAAATTATAATCATGCATATATTGATATTGTGTATTTGTGTGTTCAAAGAAAGTGCTTTAAACACTTGTGAATAACTTGACATTTTTCTTTACAAAAACATATTTGTTGATTAATATTGTTAAAAAAACAGTCAATAAATGACTTCCATTCTAAAACAAAAGAAATCAAATAAGTTCATATCCCAAAATGTCATCATTCGAGTTTAAAGGGAGTCTTGTGCCCTTTATTGGTTTTTTATGGGTTTAAAAGGTGAAAGGTTTTTGAAAAAAACTCCAAAAATTATTGAAACATGAATTTTTACTTGGACTGAAATTTTATGATCTAGTTTGTTTAAATTGATATAATCTATATAAATAGAATATGATCTAATAAATCTCTTCTACATGTGTACTTTACTAATTGTCAATCTGATATGTTTAATTATGGTACGAAATGATCGATTACAAAAATTCAAGGGAAAACATATATGAAGAGTAACATCTATCATCTGACCCTTTAAGGATGTTTTCTTTTGGACTGAAATTTGCTGGTCTGGACTGGTCTGAACTGGTCTGGTAAACGTCTGGTCTCTGTGTATTTTATAACTATCCAAGTCTGGTCTGGTCTGTTTAAGTCTGGTCTGGTCTGTTTAAGTCTGGTCTGGTCTGTTATGTTTAAATCTGGTCTGGGACTGAAAACCGTCCAAAAGAAAACATCCTAAGACAATGAGTCATATTGAAGCTAAAGGTCATTAAAATTTTAAAATCTACATTAAGAAATTAAAAGAGAAATTAATATAACCCGTCCACAGATTTACCAAATAAACTCATCCGCAGTATAATTCTTGCAGTCTAATGTTTAGTTTTTTTTTTTTGCCATAGTACAGTTATTGCATGCCCGAATACAATAAGTCAATAACTCATGCAATCATGCATGCTCCATTTTTTCATACATAATCGAACATATACATCTTGATGCACCGTGTTTCATAAACCCGTGAGCATAAACGTTATGATCGTTAAATTATTTTTCAAATCGAATAAAAGAATGTTGCATGACATTCGATAGCCATCAACCAAAGTTTTATGATTATATAGCTAATAAGAAATTGTACTAGAAAATTGTATCTAGCTAGGTTCCTCACTAGAACTATATACGGAGTATACTCCTAGTTTATTGTTTGGTCTCAACTCTTTCAAATAAACTGTAATAATAATCTGCTTCATTATTGGGCATGGACTAAAGCTATTTGTACCAGCTACAAGGAACAAAATAAATTGATTCATCCACAAAACTTTGGAGTATGAAACTGCTGAATAAGCAAGCAACATTATGTATGTACTCGATGGGGCGGTTGCCTATGCCATTCATTTGCGAGCAGCATGGTAAAGCTCCAAGTAGTCAAGAGCGGGGCGGTTCCAGGACCAATCTTGCTCCATCACCTTTTTCCTCAACGAATTCAACCAGTCCTGAGCGTCGTACCAAGCCGATATTGCTCTGAAATATACCAACTCCAAATCATCACTACATTCTTTAATGGGAAAATCACACTTTTGATCTCTAATTTATTTCAAATTTTGATAGTAGTTCTTGTCTATTGATTTTTGCATATATAGTCTCTTGAATACATGTTTTTTTTCATAACCAAAGTCCCCGCCTTTGCTACATATCCCACAACAAAGGGACAAAACTTTGATAATTTTTTAACATAATTTGCTACATTTTCAACAGAACAAATGTCAAGGACCAAAGTGACAATTTTTTCACAACTAAGGGGCAAATATTTACAGAAATTAAAAGACATGAACAACATTTTAATATGCGATATAAATCAGGGACTAAAAGCTCAATTTCTCCTTCTTTTAGTGTGTGAACTTAAGTATTTGAATAGTCTACAAATCTATTTGGAGTACTTTTTTAAGAAAACTCCCTAAATAGGAGTATAACATACTCCGCAGTAAAGTTTCCCAAATAGGAGAACACTTGTTTTCTTCCCAAAATAGGACTCATACACACTTATTTAAAGGAGCTTTTATGCTTTTATTCTTTTAAAAAGACTAAATAAGGATGTTTTTAAGTGGGCTGAAATTTTCTGGTTTGGTCTCGTCTGGTCTGGTCTGAAATGGTCTGGTAAACGTCTGGTCTTTGTGTATTTTATAACTATCCAAGTCTGTTTTGGTCTGGTCTGATATGATCTAGGACTGGAAACGGTCCAAGTAAAAACATTCTATGTTCTATTTTGGGAAGAAAACATACTTAGAGCATCTCCAATGCTAAAACGTGAACAATGCATGCGTGGCATGAGAGATAGCCAATTAAAAATAACAAATATAATATCTCTCTCTTTATTTGAAGGATCTTGTATCATTTTGGTAAGTTTTTCTTCACAATGTCAAGCACAATGTCTAGATGTAGACATTGTGCTTGACATTGCAGAGGAAAACTTACCAAAAACACATAAAACCGTGGAAAGAATGAGAGAGAAATGTCACAAATTCAATTTTTTGTGTCTATCTCTCTCATGCCACATGTGCACCGTGCACATTGTAGCATTGAAGATGCTCTTAGTTCTATTTGAGATCTTTGTCCATATTTTACTCCTATTTTGAGGAGTTTCTGTAAATCTTTCTACTTCGCTGCAGGAAATATTATCTAGAGTAAGGTTAGACATGTAATTTCAATAAAATAAAATTTAATTATTACAATTTCCTTAAAATTACTTCCTCCATTTTTATTTAATTGTTCTTAAACAAGTGTATTATTAATAGCTTAATTTATTAATTTGGCAAGTTTTACTATTACTCTCCTGTACTTTCACCTTTACATAAATTTACTGTTTCATCCTCTTCCCTCCCAAACCCTGATTGAACAATCAATTAAAAATGGTTGGAGTATTAATTATACGTCTATACCTTAGGGATTATGGTGTTGGTGGCGATGATGATGAAATAGACAAGTACACCCAGTCAAATAAGAAACTAATTAATAGAAAACAGGTTAAGAAACAAAAAAATGAGTCTATCGAAGCGACGACTTCAAGTTTGGTCATCACTTTCACTTCAATTTTCACTTTTGTGGTTCAGTTGATAATAAAAAGAGAAAATAACAGTGAAAATATTGCTACTGGAATACAAAACTGTGACCTCTTTAATGCAAAGTGACTATATTTGATCAATTGTAATGACTGAAGTGGTGCGCCTAGACGCCTAGTAGTTTAGTTGTCCTTAAGTGTACCATTTTAGTAGTGTCATCATCATTACCCCAGTGCCGCAAAGGCTCCCACCTACAATTGGGTAAGGGGGGATCGGATGTACGCAGTCTTACCCCTGTACTAAAGCACAAAGAGACTGTTTTCGAATGACCCATGGTGAAAATCGCGTCGAAAATTGCATAGACCGACTATTACTTCATAACAAAGAAGCGCAAACAGTTTAGTGAGCCATTTTGCTTTATTCCATCATATTTCCAAGCCAAAAAATAGTGAGTCTTTGGCTCCATTGAAAATGATGGAAAATACCATTTTAGTAGTGTCTTGCAAAAAATCCTAATAACTTGATCAGAGTATGAGAGAATATATACTTGCCTGTTGAGGGCATAGTCGACACCGCCAGCATCTGCCCCATCAAAGCTGAACCCATTTGGTTCAATACCACAAGCTTCAGCTTTCTCCTTGCCATGGTCAACATCAAACACAGTATCATATAGTCCTAGACAACATGATACACTCAAATTGGTTATAGACTTATAGTTGCTTAAGCGTTACATGATATTGAAATAACTCAAGGCTATGTTTGGATCCCGGAAAATGCTAGAGAGTACAGAGAGTAAAGGTATGCCAAGAGAAGATATTTTTTTTGTCGATTTAACCTCATAAAAGGCAAAGGAAAACAAATTTCGATTCCTTTGCACTTATAAGATAGAAATAAATTACAGAGGATTTCAACAAATAATAGTTAGTTTGAACTGATGTTTATTTTCCTCGACAATTTCCTTTCCTCCTGAACTTATTTAGAACTCAATTATTTGTAAAAAATCTAAATATATGTAACAGAATTTTTGAAATATTATCAATTTTAAATTTCCTTTCCATTTTCAAAGTTGATAGCGAACATAAGGAAGTAACTTTCCTGGGATTTTTTCCCTTACCCTAGCATTCCAAGATTTCAAACAGACCCTAAATGTACACAAATAAAAGAGGACATATAGAAAGACGAAAAACCATTTATTAACCTCCAGTTTTGCGAACTACAGGGATAGAACCATATCTCATTGCTATGAGCTGAGTTAGTCCACATGGCTCAAATATAGAAGGGACTAATATAAAATCCGCCCCCGCATATATCTGCAATTTCATTAATATTGGATCAGTGATTACAAATACCCATTACACAACTTTGAAAAGAACAAGGTAATGTTTCATAAGCTATAATGTGATGCAATGGAATCATTTCGTAGTAGACAGTTGTACAATGAATTGAACCCACTGCATCTGGTAATGCATTTGGAAGGCGGAGAATGTGTTCGTATATATACCAGGTGAGAAAGAGGCTCATCATATGTTAGACAGAGACGTGCACGGTCAGCAAATGCCGAATGAAAATGATTAGCCAAACTAACAAACTCATTTTGAATGCGCGGATCGGGTGCTGACCCTAGCAAGACAACCTGCATGCCATAACAATCAACCTTCATAATATAAGGACAATGAAACCCTAATCCAGTTTATTTAACTTTTAAAAGTAAACCTTACAATTATTGCATTTTAGATGCATGTTTTTCATGATCAAAGAGATGAGATTTAGTCTTATCCAATATTTACTTGGTGAACATTTTCAATCATTTAGGTGTTGTATGGTAGCACACTCTTTCTTTCAGCTTTCTGCTTTTTATTTGACCTTTCTAAAAACAAATAACAGGAAATTTGGTTAGAAACATGAATATCTTGATTCAATATTTTCAAAAATATATTTCTCATTTTACCATATTCGAAAATATTTTTGAAAAATTAAAAACATATATGGTCATATTCTTGGAAATGTCATGGGTTTTAGTTATATTGGGGTATTTTCCCCCTTTTCTAAATCACATATCCAACACAGATACATGACATATTTTATATCTAATAAAATCTAAAATTACACAAAAAAACACTTCTGAAAAACAGAAAATGAGAAAACTTCAGAATGCTAAAATATAAGAGATGTTTAACAATACTGGCTTGAAAAAAAGTATGGATAAATTATAAAAAATATAAATAAAATTATAATAGAGATAACCTGTCCATTCCGTTCCATAGTGCGAAAAAGGGCATGTTTAATGAGGTGGATTCCTTTCTGGTGTGTTAAACGGGTAATAATTCCTACCAAAGGAAAATCAGCCTTTCTCAACCCAAGTCTTTTCTGTAAAGCTTCCTTGGCCGCCCTTTTTCCTTCAACAACATTCTCTGAAGTGTATGAAATCTGTGTTGGCATGATGAATAACACATTCAGTCCTATTCAGTGAATGAAAGGAAGAAAGATAAATCGAACTACGGATAACTTACTGGGAGAAACTTATCATTGTACGGATCCCAGATGTCCGGATCAATTCCATTAAGTATACCATGAAACTTGTACAGATGTGGGGCAATTAGCGGGTTACTGGACACTTCCTGGGAATAAGTGGGAGATACCTGCAAATTTGAACATAAGAAAGCATAAAATTTAGAGTTTCCATGAAATGCAAGCATGGAAGATAAAGCTTTCCACGTTTTATCCCATGAATATTGAGGCCATTCCTATTACTGGTCCCCGACTTTCATTTTTTCACTTTTGTTACATTCTTGTGGATTTCTTGCTACATTTAGTCCTTTTCAGTCACTAATCTAACAAAAATCTGCCCTAGATTCCAAGGATATTTGCGTCATAACAAAGACCAAAAGTGAATCCATAGATGTACACAAGAAGTATGATTGACCTAAAAGTCATGGGACCAAAGTGGTTATTTTTCTATTCAATTGTCAACCTGATATCAAAAGTAAATAAATAAATTTTTCTTTAAAGGAACTTACCGTTGTGGCTTTGTCTGAATATTGCATTGCTTTGCCAATGAAATGTGCACCAAATTCAAGGTTGTGGATTGTGAAAACAAGACGAGCTTTACCCAGAGAATTATGGCGGTATTGCTCCTTAAACAGCCATGCAACTGGAGCACTTGACCAATCATGGCAATGAATTATGTCCTACAAATAACAACACTAACAATCATTTTTTTAACTGGCTAGCATCATACGGAGTATAAAGAATGATATACAATGGTTTAAAACTCTCAACATTGTTTGTATTACAACAAGCTTCTTTCCATCATTGTGAGGGATTATACCATCTCCTCTGAGCAAATAAAACTCTAAACAATTAGCGCCTTAATCTAAATTATATTAGGGACGGTTGCATTACTTGCGCACTCGCAAGAAATGTATAGCGCCAATAATTTACAACAACAACAACATCCAAGCCAATAATTTAATTTTGTAAAATTTCCTAACACTAAATTCACACAAAAACATAGTGGCAAGGTTTTATGTAAAGTTCCATTCCAGTTGCAATCTAAAAAGTAAAACTAAAAAATAAAGATAAGCACATAAAATGGAACTATAAAATTCCAGCCAATGAAAAGCATGCAAAAAGTAAAAATCATCCTCTCGACTAGATTTAATATATTTAGCAGAAAATACATAAATGAAAAACATACTGGACGGAATCCACCCTGCTGTAGAAACTCCAAAGAAGCATTACAAAAGAAGCCGAATCTCTCTGCATCATTTTGACAACCATATATGCATCCTTTCCAAAAGAACCTATAAGGAAAGTAATATGGAAGTTATCAATTTACTGAGCATGAAAAGGCATACTGTAAGAGCTAGATGCATAGTTTTCAACTTATGTAAGCATACCCGTTTTGAGGCTCCAAAAAGTACACAGAGAGGCCTTCAACTTTCCCAAACCAAACTTTTATATCAGTTCCACCCCAAGAATAGCTTTTCTGAACATGCAAGTCCTTCACCTATCCCCCCAAGACACGCATAAATGGTAGAGAATATGAATGAGAATTATGGATGTAATTATAAAAAATGTCATAAAAAATAATATCATGATAAAGCCTGAGTCATTATTTTTGACGTAAAATGGAAATAATGTCAGAAGAATCTGAATGTACCACGGTTTAAATTAATCATATGTGACATACTTGGTTAAATAAATAGATTGCAGCTTACATTAGTTAAGTTCAAGCAGTCATACTTGGGGAGGATGATGTCCACTCTGTGGTTTAACTCCTGAACTGCACGGGATAGACTGGTGACAACATCTCCAAGGCCTCCAACCTACCCAATAATAATAACAATAATAATGATGATGATGATGATGATAGTAAAAATAATGGTATTTATTTTATTCATTATATTACCGATATAAAGAGTACTCCGTACTATTTAAGAAAAGTTTAAGCACAACAATGTAAAAGTGAATTTTAATCACCTAAAGAATGAATAAAGCAGATACAGTTACATACTTACAAACTAGATAATTCAAATTGTTTTGAAATGACAAAAAACATGTAGTTGATCTAAAAAACGAAAATCGCTTAGAATTCGAATAGTTAGACTCAACTCAACTGCCAAAAACGTACCTTTGCAATGGGCGCCATTTCAACAGAAATATGCACAATGTGCAAAGGAGGTTCTTTTAGAATTGCTCCAGAGACGGGTATGTGATAGTCCATGTTATTCCTGTTGTCAAATACTCCTCCGTCTTCTTTCTCAGAGAACACGAAGTCCATCATATATGCATCCAATGGAACCTTGACTTTATCCGTTTGGAAGAGGGGAAACAAAGAGATCTTTCAGTACGAGTTCTTTATCAGTTTTATGATGTGTATGTATAATCAGGCCCATATTATCAGCCTCGGCGTCTAGTCAATTTTGGCTTTTGGGTTAAAAAAATATCAGTTTTGGTATATGAGTTTCATATTTTATTGCACTTGATCCTTCCAGTGGCGGATTCAAAAAGTGCAATTATTGGGGGCTCCGGAACTGGTTAACCCTGCCGGAAACCACTGGACCGTCAAAGCTCAGCAGACCTCGGTAAATCCGACTTGGATTTTTTTTGGGTTTATGCATCTTTGATCTAATAAAATTAGGGAAAATTCCAGAAATAGAAGTAAATAATGTGAAATTCAAAATTAGAAGTACTATGTTTTTTCACTGACTGACAATCCTGAAATTTCACTGCCATATTTTGACATTACCGGGCTTTAATATGGCGGTATACTGCCATAATTGACAATATTTTTCAAGCATGGTAGTAATTACACCTATATAGGGATTTTGGAATTCCATACTGTTTTTATTTCTCTTGAAAACAACTTCTTATAAAATTACCATTCTGATTTCATAAAGAGATCATTTCTTTTCAACCATCTTTAGATATTGATTCAGTAATGCACACACTGTTAAAAAAAGTGGTTTAAAAAATCGCTTATAATCCCTCTTGGTTTTAAGAAATTAGAAGCGCGCTTTATTGAATTGGTCGTGCATTCAAATTATAATTTATGGCAAAACCAAAAGTAAAAAGTTAATGGGGGAGCTCATTTTTTATTGGGGCACGCCACTAATTATTTGCTGGGGGCATGTGCCCACATTCAACAAAGCCTCCGTCCGCCCATGAGTCCATCCAAGCAAAACTCCGGCGAAAATAACCGGAATTACTTAATATTACGGCAAAGTTCGAAACATTTCTCTCTGTAAAAGTACCCAAAAGAACCAAAAGGGATAGGGACATAAAACAGTGCACCAAACAGATAATTCTTTAGACTGAGGATCAAAAGTGAAAAGGATATGAAAGCCATTGGACAAAAATTAATATGTACTCCAAAGTCCAATCCTTACCAGTTGCCTTAACATGTGAACCTTTTTCAGTAGCCAGCATTTTCTGAGGTTGCATTGGGCCCAAGCGGTAAGTCCAACGATTAAATGAGCATCTGAACCATATTTCAGGTTTTCCATTTAGGACTGTATTAGCAGGATTATAATAAACTGTGACTAAACTTCCAGCTTGAACATCAAAAGGCTCAGTATATACTATGTGTTTTTGAGACAACAAAAATGACTTCATAGTCCTTTCCTTTGTCTCTGCCTTCATGTGTGCCGTTCTTTCGATCTGCATATGGAGCACCATTAAGATATTAACCGTTGAAATCAAGAACTGAAAATTAGGCAAACATTACAGAATGGGCCAGCCAATAACTAATTGTAATTATTTTATTTTAGATGCATACTTTTCCTTGGAGGCTGCAATGCCCTAGATTTGAGGGAGATAAAACCAAAATAGACTAAAGGTTTTAGGTTCTTTTAACTAAAACTTTATTTTTGCTTAGCTTTGTCACAGATTTTAAGAGAATATTTATTTACTATATTCCTAATTTGAATTTAAGGTACACAATTCTTGCAAATAGGTTGGGAAGTTATATAAAAAATATATTCATGTAGATGGTACACCTTATATTTTAAACACATTGCTTGTTAAAAAGAAACAGACCTTCGCCCTTACTGCCTCTTCTCTTAATCTTCTCTCCTGTTGAAGTCTCTTGTATAATTGATGTTCTTCCTCAACCCAAAACGCTTCTTCTGGAATCTTTTCAGGGACAATGCCATGAAAGTCCTTCCGTCCATTGTTATCATAAACCATTGCATTCCCGGGTGGCCCATCAGCCACAACCCAATCCAATATTAGTGCTCGGTCAGGAACAACAACTAATGAATAATACAAAGAAAGAAACCTTCAAATGAGTACCACAATTCACAAAGCCACTCAGAGAACTAAATAGAAAAAGATGTAGTATACAATATTGACTCAATTTATGACGTCAGCAGTTGTAGCTCTAAGAAATAAAACAATTCAACTTTATGCCAGAGATAATTATAGCTCAAATAAATAAAAGAAGTGACTCGGCTTATACTAGAAATTATTATAGTTCCATGAGAAAGCAAACAACTAACTCAACTTACGCTGTAAGTACTATAGCTTCACAAATACATAAAATGACTAAACTTATAATGGAAGTAATTATAGCTCCCAAAAAAGAAATCGACTCAACTTATGCTGTAAATAATTATAGCTCCAGAAATAAAAGAATTGACCTAATTATGCTGTAATGTACTTGGCTAAAATAAAAATAAAAGAATTGACTCAAAAGTTCTTGCTCAAGCAAACTTTCATACGCATAAACATGCTGTGATTTCAAAAAATATACACACCATCAGCATACCACCAATCACCATCCTTCCTTTCAGATCTAGAAAGACGTGTAACAATAGATACACCATTCTTCCAATTATCATGTCCACCATGAATCCATATTTCCATAGCATGGGAAAGCGGGCCCGAACTCTTCTTATAGTGTAATCTAATACTCCCCTCCCTTTCGAGATCCTTACGAGTGATAAACCAGTTGTCACCACCACCAGACTTTAGGGCCTTATCAATTGCTTCCTCCAAAATTTTCCTTCTCTTTGCAACCTCTTCTCTTGCCTTAACTCTATCATCTTCACTTGCAATCTTTTCTGCTTCTATTCTTCTCATTTCTTCAGCCTCTCTTTCCCTTTGAGCTTTTTCTCTGGCCATTTTTTCTAACTCTTTCTTTTTTTCCTCAAGCAAGAAATTTTCAAAGTCTAAAGCACTTATACCGTCTTTTATAGTTATAGAGAAGTCTTTCTTATTGTTGTTTTCGTATACATCTTTCCCATTGGAAAACACAAAATGAATGTTGAATGCTTCTTTGGGAACGTGAAGTTTGCAGGACCACCAATCTCCATTTAAATCTGTCTTGTTAAGATTCATGGTAAAAGAGCGCCAACGCCAGTCATTAAATCCTCCTGTGATTATTACATCAGGCTCATTTTTCAAAGTGGAGAGACTTTTGTTAAGAAATATTTCTACTTCTTCATCGGGTTTTGCCTCCTCAGGATAACAGAAAAAAATGTTCTTTCCCTTGGAAAGCCTTTCTACATCTTGTCTTCTTAGATTTGCTTCCATCTCTAGCTTTAACTTTAGAGAATGATCCTCTGAGCCTACCTCATCTAGAGCATCACCTTCCAAAGCTGTTTCTTGCAAATTATTGAAATCAAAACTTTGATTATCTAAATTGCTTGAATCAATTCCATTCAATAAGACCTTGGTGCCTACACCATTATTTGGAAATTGACTTAAATCGCGAAAATTATCTTGTTCTTCACTTTCCTCTACTCTTTCAACTCCTTGAATTTCATTGTCTCTGTCATCAAGCTTGGTATCTATCTTTTTCTTGAACAGAACTTCGGATTCTTTGGATGTTGAAGTTCTTTGACTTTCTTTTTCATTCTTGTTCTTCTGATCCCTTCTTCGGTTACCCATTCCAGCTGCTGTTCTTGATGAAAACCCCCTAGGGGAGGACCCTTGACTCCTTGGAGTTGAAACCTTTTTCTTTTTTCTCGAAAAATCTTCTATAATAAAAAATGAAAAAGTAGGGTTACCAATGAATTTGTCTTAGTTAAAAGGTGAATCAATTTTTTTATTTACATTATAAAGCATACTAACAAACTAACAAACCTGCACTTGCACAAATATAACGTGGAAAACCTCCCGCCACTTCAACTTTGTTCTGCGAAGACTGCATGAAATGCAGACGAGAAAGGGAGACACATAGAAAAGAAAATCATTACAGTTAAGAACTGCATTAAAAGGCTTAGTGTCAAAACCCCCCTTTTAGCCATTAACTAGAGAAGTGTTAAGTTAGGGACAGAGAGATAGGTTCCAGTAAAGGTGTAGAGAGTATCAGTATCACCCTTCAAGAGAAGAATGAGCGGGAAAGCTCCCACAACCTCATTTAAAGGTTCTATGACTTGTATCTGTCAAACCCATAGCATTCACTTTAACCTTTCACTACACATTTCCATGCCCGGAGCTTAGTTCTAGTTTATTATGAAAAAAACTCAAAATTTTAGGGAGTTCCCAATTTGAATCAACTATTGAAATTGGTGGCATTTGGGATCTATCAATTTCAGTCGCTCCAAACATGAATTTTTTTGTTATCTAATTCCTAGATATGCAATTTTCAGTATTCCAATTCCGACCACAAAAGCAATCTAAACAAGTCCTTAAAGTTACAAAATAGACAGTCTTGGCAACTAATTGCCATCAAGAATCAGGACTGAATCAACAGAGCATTGACCCCTTAAGTTTAGGCACATAAAACACATAAACCAGTAAATGGGCATGATCAGTGAACAATTACTAGACTATGGAGAAACAACACAAAACCAATGAGGAAAAGGAAGAAAAAATTACTTGTGCTGATAGAGTGGTGCAGCCATGAGGGAAGAACCCAAGGAAAGGTTTAATCTTGAAAAAAAGATTGGCTTGTGCTTTCCTACTGAGGATTGTTGTTCTTGAACCCAGAGGTTTCTGAATTGGCAAAGGTACTTCCATGGCTAGCCTCTCCCTGAACAAAAAAATGCTAAGGCCTTCCCTTCTTTTTCGTTTTGATTTCTTATGCTGGCATATTCACACACCACTCTACTCGTGTTTATCACTTTATCTCTCTATTAATTTAGCTGTTTTTTTTGTTTTTGTTTTTGTTTTTGTTTTTGTTGTTGTGTTAACGATGGGTGTTTGAATCAATGACTGTATCATCTTAATAATTCAGAGGAAAGAATGAGGTGGTCAGTGTCTTGCATAAAATAAAATAAAATAAAATGAATAAATAAAAAAATGAATAAATAATGAATCTATAATTTCGTCTGCAACCTGGCGATCACAATCACGAGTCCCAACCCAACCCTTGGAGGCACAAAGAGTGAAAGAGTGTACTCTTGGATGTAACGAAGTGCAACTTGTTAAGGTGTGTACTTATATGGAACTGACGGCTTATATTGTTCGATTGATTTTGCCTGGGAGCCACTCGCTTATTACGAGATTATTCTATTCGAACACAATTCCTCCCGTCAAATTAGCAAATTGGTAAAAGTATTTCACACCCAAAAATTGACCAACTTATTGCCGATAATTCTTTTATTTATTTACCAATATAAGTCACGGATGTGATTATAAGGCACTTTTACTTCTTCACTTAAAACTCCCAACGTCTAGAGATCGTTTGGTAACACTATCTTTTGCTGAGACTTATCAGCCAACTTTTTCATCAAACATGTAACTTTTGTTTTCACGCGCAATTGTGTAATAATAAGAAAAAGTAAAGTTGAAATTATTTTTATTTGACTGTATTAGCCGAAGTTACTGTAGATGATCATTTTAGCTATTTTTACATATAATTTTTTCTTTATTTTATTAATAAAATACTCTCTCCATCCTACAAAACTTGGCCAAAGTTGATTGACACGTAATTTAATAAAGTAGAAACTGTGTGGTTGAAATCTGTGCATAGAAGAGTGAAATAATTTTAGCCGCATATTCCTTACTTTAAATGGAAATAGCAAAGTATATTGGGACGGTCAAAAAAGGAAATTTGGCCAAGTTTTATGGGACGGAAGGAGTATATCTTAATTCTTTTTTTCTTAAATCAGCAAAACCAGCCAATGCAGCTACTTCAGCCAGAACTTCATAAATTTCAGCAAAATCAGCTGAATCAGCCGATTTTCATGTTACCAAACGGGCTCCTAGTCTCCTAAGTAGGGTGAATTGTGAGGTTGAAATATTTAGTCCTTGATTTTGTCATGATAAGTAGATGACTAAAAACATCAATGAGAGTGTTTGACAATCACGGGTTGACTGTTATCTATTAGCCGGTTGAATAAACAAATTCTCTTAGTTGTTTTGACTCACAACTTTCATTAGCAGTTTGAAGTAAAATGTTTGATAACTTAGTTGTTTGAATTAGCAGTTAAGACGTAAAATGACCATTGAAGATGTTGGTTTTATGGGGGATCAACATTATGCTTTGATTCAGACCCTAGCCACTTGATTGCACTCGGCCTGCTGGCACCACAATGTTGTATAGCCCCTCATGTACATCCTCGCGCAGTAGTGATCGAGGCTATGCACTGAATTATGAGGGGTGTCCCACAAGGATCTACTTTGACGTGGTTACTACACAATAATGTGTTAAATAAAGTGTGTCCAACTCCTTATCATCAATTACTTTTAAGAATGATATGATTGTTATTTAATCATAGCTCGGAGGTAGGATATCTCAAGGATGAATGATGCACTAAGAAGTTTGTAAAAAAGGATGAATTGTTCATACAAAGGACATAAATTTAAATAGTATATATATTCAACTTAATTTTCTTTTATTTCTAAACAAGTTTTTAAAAACATTTAAAAATTATATTTGCTTTACTTTTATATAACTACTACTACTATACTATTATCATTTTAAACATATATGTACATTTACGTGACCGCATGCAGAAATTCATTTACTTTAGTATTATACTAGTTTTCAAACTCGTGCGATGCACGGGTAGTACATAATTTAGCTAAATGTAAATTTGATTATTTCGGAATCGCACATAATGTGATGCAAAATCAAAATAAACTTGGTCTAATATAAATCCGTTTGATAATACTAAAATTCATCGAATCGTCTGATTCGATTGTAATGAATTAAATCTAACTGATTGGGCTGAATTGACGGAATCTCCCGAATTGTGAAAAAATAAAATTAAATGTACTACATATATCATTAATAAAATAACATAAAAAATATATGAAAAAGATTTAAAATAAACTTCTAGATTAGCATCTCAAATAAACATAATTGGTAAAGAATTCACACAAAAGCTTCTCAATTGATCTTATATCATTTAAATTACTTTATTAAGCATCGCAAAATACTATTTTTAATATTTCTCATTCAACATGGTATGAAATAAGTATTTTTATATTTTATTAGTGAGATCTAACATTTTACTCATCATTTTGTCACATTAAAAATGTAAAAAAATGAATCTTTTTTATAATTATATTTACTCATTATTTCGTCACATTGAAAATGTTATTGATAGGGACATTTTTTACTAGATTGAAACTTTTTGTTCTAATTTGGTCTGAAGTAATATGGTTTGGAAGATGTTTGTTTTATGTGTGTTTTATTATTATTTTTAATATTTTTATGGATGTTTGATCTGATATTGTCTGAGACTGAAATCAGTCCAATTAAAAGCATCTGATAAATAAAATTAGGAATATGTAAACCAATCAACATTTGAAGATTTCCTAATTTGGATTAGTATTCTATTTCAAAAGTGAAGAAATATTTAAATTGTAGTTGTATAAATAAAAAAAAACAACTATACATATTTACTTTTTTTTTGGGCTAAACGTATTTACTTGTGAAAATATATATTTAGAGAAAAGGGGAAAATAAACCCACGTACTAACAAAAAATGTCAAATAAGCCCTTATATAAGAGGCTCTGTCCGGCCGTCACCATTTGGGGCGGTTTCCGGTGGAATTTTTTTATGAAACTTTTTGAGAATCTTATTCATTAAGTCTAGTTTACTCATACCAAATTTCAGTTAAAACTTCAATCGGGAAGGCATTCAAATGAATTCTTGAAGATAACTGCGCAGTTAAAATCGCAACTATTTTCAAGAATTCATTTAAATGCCTTCCCGATTGAATTGTTAGCTGAAATTTGATATGAGTAAACTAGACTTAATGAATAAGTTGCTCAAAAAATTCCACTGGGAACTGCCCCAAATGGCGACGGCCGGACATAGTCTCTTATATAAGGGCTTGTTTGACCTTTTTTGTTAGTATGTGGGCTTATTTGTCCCTTTTCCCATATATTTATATGTATGATATGAATTTCCATCCTAGTTAAATAAAGGTAAGCTACTTGTTCAGAAGTTTTAAATGTCTTCATATTTGAACGAGTAATAGTATATCAATTTCATTTTTAAGTTAAAAAATCTGGTGGTCATAATTTTCATCATTATGATCTCAACAACTAATTAAGAAAGGTGCAGAAAAATACGACGTATTAACACAATTGTTATAAAATAAAGCCTCAGATAACTATCATCAATAAAAAAATGTGAGACTTTGAGGGACCCTTTGGCCTCATTACGTACCCCTGCTGACTAATTGAAACGCTTAAACTTTCTGCCACAAGAATAAAAAGATAGGGTGATAAGGGACCTCCAGCTTATATCCTTAGAAGGGATTCATCAGGTTAATCATGTTCCTATCAAACGGAATAAAATATTCCACCCTCAGCTCTCTATACACTCCCTTATCAATTTAACCCATTTTGGATCAAACTTCATGAGAGGTAAGATATATTGTTTCAAGATAAGGCCACTCCACTCTAACAAAGGAATTACTCATATCTAATTTAAAAGCTACATAACCCTCCTTCCTTGACTTTTTATTTTCAAGAAATGAAGAGTCTCGAAGGTCACCATAATATTATCAACAATTAACTAGCCTAGAACAAAAACACTTTGATCTTTAGAGACAAGACTTTGAAGAAAGCCTTTCATACGGTTAGCTAGGACTTTGGGAGGGAAAATTATAAATAACATTACACAAAGCTATAGGTCGGCAGCCTCCTAAGGAGCCTGACTTATCGTTTTTGGGAATTGAAATCAAATTAGTATAGGATTACCCCCCTTAGGATGCTTCCCAACGAGAACATATGTTGACAGAAGGCTATAATATCACTGCTTATGATATCCCAATGATGATTGTAGAACCCTGGATTCAATCCATCTTATCCTGGCGTCTTGTCCAGGTGCATGACAAAAACAACTCTTTTAACTTCTAAATAACTAATTGGCCGCAATAGTGCACTTCTTTGCTCGTCGGACAATTTGACAACTCTCAGCAACTCAGTGTGATTTATATGGACAGAACTCAAAGAGTCAATAAAATATCCCAAGATAGCATTTCCCATTTGTTCTCTATTATTGGCCTCCCACTCATTTTCTAGCCGCAAACCCTTCATATAAATCTTTCTTTTGCGTTGTTTAACCGGATTATGAAAAAATGTGCTCTTGTCTCCCTCTTTGGGTCAAAACTCCTTTATCCGTTGTTGCTAAAAATTGTTCTATTTGTGAAGCAGATCAAACAGTGTAGCTTTTATCCTATGGAACTCCCCTGACTTTGTCACCTTCACCTTTGAGTTGGTTTTATGGTATTTTCAAACCTTGATTCTAGTTTGAAATCCCACTGGTCTATTTTTACTCCAAGATCTCAACTCCCCGCCACAAGCTTCAATCTCTGCCATAAAGATAGATTTCCCGAGTTAGACCAAGACCAATGCAATAATTCCATACATTCTTCAGCTCCAAATTTTCAAACTTGAAAACAGACCTATGCCATGCCCGTCTTTCTTTGTCCATTCTCATTCTCATATGGTCACTTGAAGGGCCTTCCAATGACATGGTTGTGAATTCCACCAATAATTGCATCCATTTCTTATTAGACAACGGTTGATCAAGTTTTTCCTCAATTCGACACCATGTGCCTCTCCCTCTCTTCCATGTCCATTGATAGTCATCGAAAGAAATATTACGAAAACCACAACTAAAGATAGCCTCTCTGAATCGTCTCATAAGCTAAGGTGGTTATGGGGGTCTTCCTCTACTATACGTTCACGCGCGATTGAATATTATATCATTCAAATCCC